CTGGGATAAACAGGAGGTCAGACCCCAAACATGGACCTTTTCCCAAATGGGATAAATGGGAGATCAGATCCCAAACTTGGAGCTTTTCCCAAATAATTTTACCCAGGATAAAAGGGAGATTGGATCCCAAACTTGGAGCTTTCCCCAAATTATTTTTCCAGGGATAAACAGGAGATCAGATCCCAAATTTGGAGCTTTTCCCAAATCTCTTTTCCCAGGATAAGAGGGAGATCGGATCCCAAATTTGGAGCTTTTCCCAAATCTCTTTTCCCAGGATAAAAGGGAGATCGGATCCCAAACTTGGAGCTTTTCCCAAATGGTTTTTCCCGGGATAAACACGCGGAGACGCCACCGCCAGCCGGGAATTCGGGATGTGACATCTCCCCAAAAAATAAATAAATAAAAACATGCCCGGGATGGAATCGGAGGGTCAAACCTCCTCCTCCTCCTCCTTTCGGGATCGCCCCATGGGACCGGGAATGCCGGCAGGGATTGGGAAAAGGGGAAACCCCAAAACGCCGGGAATTCCATGGGGGAGAAAAAAACCCAAAAATTCGGGATAAAAACGGGATAAAAGAAAACCGGGCTGGAATAAACGGCGGGAGCCTCTCCCGCGGGGGAAATCCAGGGATTTGGGGGCGTCCCAAGCCATGCTGGGTGGGGGGTGAAGGAAAAGTGTCCCCAAGCTCAGCATGGGGGTGGCATGTCCCCAGGAGGGGACAGCGCGGCCGCGGTTGTCCCCACCCCCCTTTCCCGGCGCCGTTTCCCTTCCGCCATCCCCCGCGGCCCTCGGCCCCTCCTCGGGGCTGCCCCGGTGCCTCTGCCGCCCCCCGGGTGCCCCCGGTGCGCCGCAATGTCCCCCGGTGTCCCCCGGCGTCCCCCCGGTGTCGCCGCGCCCCGCTCACCCCGCCGCTCCCGCTGCCCGCTTCCCGCTGCGGGGACACGCCCCCTCGCTCCTATTGGCCGGCGCGCCCCCGCCTCGCTCTTCCATTGGTCAGCACGCACGCCGGTCACGCCTCCAGGCCACGCCCCGGGCTGTGCTTAACCGGCGTTGTTAAGGGGCGGGACTGTTGCTAAGGGGCGGGGTTGGGGGCGGGACTAAGGGGCTGGGCAGCCAATCAGAAAAGGCGAGAGCTCCGCGGGGCGCCCCCTTTTGGGCGGACGGGGGGAGCGGGGGCGTTGCCATGGGAACGGGGAGGGGTGGGGGAGGGGCCTTTCCCTTCCCTTCCCTTCCCTTCCCTTCCCTTCCCTTCCCTTCCCCTCCCCTTCCCCTTCCCCTTTCCCCCTTTCCCCCTTCCCCTCCCTTCCCCTCCCTTCCCTTCCTTTCCTTTCCTTTCCTTTCCTTTCCTTTCCTTTCCTTTCCTTTCCTTTCCTTTCCTTTCCTTTCCTTTCCTTTCCTTTCCTTTCCTTTCCTTTCCTTTCCTTTCCTTTCCTTTCCTTTCCTTTCCTTTCCTTTCCTTTCCTCCCCCTCCTCCTCCCCCTGCCCCTGCCCCTCCCCCTCCCGTCCCCTCCCCTCCCCATCTCATTTTATCCCACCCCAAATCATCCCAATTCCTTCTCATCCCAAATTCTGTTCCATCCATCCATTATCCATCCATCCCAAATCATCCCAATTCAATTGCACCCCATCCCCACCACAATCCCAATCCCAATCCTGACCCCAATCCCACACCAATCCCAACCTCAATCCCAACCTCCCATCCCAATCCCATCCCATCCCAATCGATCCCAAATCATCCCAATTCCATCCCACCCCAATCTCGATCCCAATCCCAACCCCAATCCCAATCCCAACCCTGACCCCAATCCCACGCCAATCCCAACCCCTATCTCAATCCCACCCCAATCCCAATTCCATCCCAATCCCATCCCATTCCAGTTGATCCCAAATCTTCCCAATTCCATCCCACCCCAATCCCAATCCCAATCCCAATCCCAATCCCACTCCCCCCCGTTCCCCGTGCCCGCCCATCCTGGGCACATCCATCCCTGTCCCTCCTGTCCCCATCCCGAGCTCTGTGTCCTTCCCACGGGGACAGGGACAGGGAACGGCGCCAGTTCCCATCCGGAGAGCGCCGGGATTGTCCCCCGGGAATGCCGGGGGGACAGCGGGGTCGGGAGACACGTGAGGGACAGAGGCGACACGTGGGGGACAGAGGGGACAATGTCACCCCCGGGGGCTGCTCCAGATGCTGGAACGCTTAAAATCCCGGGATCCACATTCCCAGCAATCTGGGATCCACATTCCCAGCGGTCCCCAGAGCCCCGGCCGTGTCCTTGTCACCGGCTGGGTGACATCACACCCGGCCTGTCCCCAAGGGAGGGGACACCAGGCCCGGTTTGTCCCCAGGGCCCGCCTTGTCCCCCCATTCCCACACCGGCCGGAAATTCCAGGTTTTCCCTAAAAAGCCACTCTGGCACGGGGACGGTCCCCAGAGACACCCTGGGCGTGTCCCCGCGGTGGCGATGTCACCTGGGAGGGAGGGAGGGAGGGGACACTCGGGGCATGTCGCTGTCACCGGGAGGGCGCGGATTTGCTCCGGCTTTACGAAAACAACGGGATTTGGGATTTGGGACGGGATTAAATCCCGGCGGCCACCGGGCGGGAGCAGCGGCCACGTGTCCCCAGGGTGTCCCCAGGGAGTCCCCAGGGCGCCCCCAGAGTGTCCCCATAGTGTCCCCACAGTGTCCTTAGAATGTCCCCATGATGTCCCCATGATGTCCCCATGCTGTCCCAATGGCATTCCCACAGCATCCCCATAGTGTCCCCAAGACATCCCCATGGTGTCCCCATGCTGTCCCCAGAATGTCCTCATGGTGTCCCCATGGCGTCCCCATAGCGTCCCCGTGGTGTCCCCCAGTGTTCCCAGATTGTGCCCATAGTGTCCCCATAGTATCCCCAAGGCATTGCCACAGTGTCCCCATGCTGTCCCAATGGTGTCCCCATGGCATCCCTACAGTGTCCCCATGGTGTCTCCAGAATGTCCCCACAGTGTCTCCATGATGTCCCAATGGTGTCCCCAAGGCATTCCCAGAATGTCCCCACAATGTCCCCATGGCGTCCCCACTCTGCCATCCCCATGCTGCTGTCCCCTCCCCCCGAAGTCCTCCCTCCCACTCTGATGTCCCCACATTGTCCCTACGGTGCCCCCACCCTGGTGTGCCCATGGTGATGTCCCCACAATGTTTTCCCTCCTTGCTGTCCCCACAGCGTTGTCCCCAAATTGTCCCCATGGTGTCCCCACCCTGCTGTTCCCTCTCTGGTATCCCCACGGTGTCCTCACCCCGATGTCCCCACGCAGATGTCCCCCCCTCCCACACTGGTGTCCCCACTTTGCTGTCCCCATGCTCATGTCCCCACAGTGTCCCCATGGTGTCCCCACAATATCTCCCGGCCAATGTCCCCACTCTGCTGTCTCCACAGTGTCCCCGTGCTGCTGTCCCACCCTTGATGTCCCCACGGTGTCCCCACCCTTGATGTCCCCGCAGTGTCCCCACTCTGATGTCCCTGCCCTGATGTCCCCATGCTCATGTCCCCCACAGTGTCCCCATCGTGTCCCCACCCTGCTGTCCCCCCAACCAAGTGCCACCTCCACCATAATGTCCCCATATGCCACCTCTACCCTGCTGTCCCCACAATGATGTCCTCACAGTTCCACCCCCTCCCTGTTGTCCCCACAGTGTCCCCACTGCTGTCCCCATGGCATCCCCATGGTGTCCTGCCCACTGTCCCCTCCCTGCTGTCCCCCTAGTGTCCCCAGTGCTGTCCCCTCCCCACAGTGTCCCCAATGTCCCCCCAGTGCCCCCACAGTGTCCCCAGTGCTGTCCCCTCCCCGCTGTCCCCCCAGTGTCCCCACATGTCCCCATTGTCCCCACATGTCCCCAGTGCTGTCCCCACAGTTTCCCCCCTGCTGTGCCCTCCCTGCTGTCCCCACAGTGTCCCCAGTGTCCCCCCATGTCCCCCCATGTCCCCACAGTGTCCCAGCAGCATCCCCAGTGGTGTCCCCTCCTCGCTGCTCCCACGGCTGTCCCCAGTGTCCCCACAGTGTCCCACTGCTGTCCTCTCCATACTGTCCCCATCGCTGTCGCCAGTGTCCCCACCACTGTCCCCTCCCCACAGTGTCCCTAGTGTCCCCCCAGTGTCCCCAGTGCTGTCCCCTCCCTGCTGTCCAAACAGTGTCCCCTCCACTGTTCCCATCGCTGTTCCCACAGTGTCCCCAATGTCCCCACAGTGTTCCCAGTGTCCCCTGTGTCCCCACATGTCCACAGTGTCCCCACTGCTGTCCCCTCCCTGCTGCCCCCACTGCTGTCCTCAGTGTCCCCACAGTGTCCCCACAGTGTCCCCACGTCTCCATCACTGTCCTCACAGTGTCCCACCAGTATCCCCTGTGCTGTCCCCACAGTGTCCTCCCACTGCCCCCAGTGTCACTCCAGTGTCCCCAGTGTCCCCACAGTGTCTTCACAGTGTGCCCATCACTGTCCCCTCCCCAAAGTGTCCCCATTGTCCCCCCATGTCCCCAGTGTCCCCACTGCTGTCCCCACTGTGTCCCCCCTGCTGTGCCCTCCCTGCTGTCCCCACGCTGTCTCCAGCATCTCCTCAGTGTCCCCAGTGTCCCACCACTGTCCCCACAGTGTCCCCAGTGTCCCCCTATGCCCCCAGTGCCCCTCAATGTCCCCAGTGTCCCCACAGTGTCCCCTCAGTGTCCCCACAGTGTCCCCCTGCCGGTCCCTCCCTGCTGTCCTCCCCACTGCCCCCAGTGTCCCCAATGTCCCCATTGTCCCCACAGTGTCCCCAATGTCCCCTCACGGCCACTCTGGCCCCGCCAGGATCCAACTCTTTAATCCCCAGCGCCGGGAGCCACCGGAGCCACTGAGAGCCACCAAAGTCACCGAGAGCCACCAAAGTCACCGAGAGCCACCGGGAACCACCGGGAGCCACCGGAGCCACTGAGAGCCACCGAGAGCCACCAAGAGCCAGCGGGAGCCACCGCGCTGTCCCCGGCTGTCCCCGGCTGTCCCCGCGGTGTCGCTGTCGCTGTCGCGGCTCAGCGGCGCTGGCCCTGCAGCTGCTGCAGCCGCTGGCTCAGGTCGTCGATGCGGAGATTCTTGAGGAGAAGGAGCTGCTCCAGCCGCCCCACCTTGGCCTGCAGGATCTGCGGGAATCCCAAATCCCCCAAATCCCCAAAATCCTGAAATCCCAAACCCCCAAATCCCCAAATCCCAGACCCCCAAACCCATTCCAAGGGGTCTTCCCGGAGCAGGGAATTTTGGGCTTTTTTTTTTTCCCAGAGGAATTTTGGGTATTTTTCCCACTGAGAAGAAGAGATGGATTTGAGATTTCCGCCCCACCTTGGCCTGCAGGATCTGCGGGAATCCCAAATCCCCAAAATCCCCAAATCCCCCAAATCCCCAAAACCCCAAAATCCCAAACCCATTCCAAGGGGTCTCGCTGGAGCAGGGAATTTTGGGGTTTTTCCCAGAGGAATTTTGGGGGTTTTCCCACTGAGGAGAAGAGACGGATTTGGGATTTCCACCCCACCTTGGCCTGCAGGATCTGCAGGAATCCCAAACCCCCAAATCCCCAAAATCCCAAAATCCCAAACCCCCAAAACCCCAAAAACCCAAAATCCCAAAATCCCAAAATCTCAAACCCATTCCACAGGGTCTTCCCAGACCAGGGAATTTTGGGCTTTTTTTTTCCCAGAGGAATTTTGGGTATTTTTCCCACTGAGAAGAAGAGATGGATTTGGGATTTCCACCCCACCTTGGCCTGCAGGATCTGTGGGAGCCGAATCCCAAATCCCAAAATCCCAAAATCCCAAAACCCCAAAATCCCAAACCCATTCCAAGGGGTCTCGCTGGAGCAGGGAATTTTGGGGTTTTTCCCAGAGGAATTTTGGGGATTTTCCCACTGAGGAGAAGAGACGGATTTGGGATTTCCACCCCACCTTGGCCTGCAGGATCTTCAGGAGCTGAATCCCAAATCCCCAAAATCCCCAAATCCCCAAATCCCAAACATTCCAAGGGGTCTTCCTGGAGCAGGGAAGTTTGGGTTTTTTTCCCAGAGGAATTTTGGGGTTTTTTTCCACTGAGGAGAAGAGATGGATTTGGGGTTCTGATCCTTTTGCCATTACAAAATAAAATGGGAATTCCAGAATATCCCGCTGTTCCTATTCCCGGTTATCCCACAGAATTTTGTCCCTTCCCGAAATTTACATCTGTGGCGGGGAAATGCCGGATTTGAGGGGAAATCTGAGGGACAGGAAAAAGCGGGAAGGGGGAATTGGAAGAAAACCGGGAAAAACCGAGAAAAACTGGGAAAAGGGGACAGGGGAGAGCCGGGAAAATTCGGGAAAAGCCGGGAAAATTTGGAAGGAGGATAGGGAAAATTTTAGGGAAGAAGGGACAGAGAACAACCAGGAGAAACCTGGAAAAAACCGGGGAAAACCGGGAAAAGCCGGGAAGGAAGGACCCGGAGAATTTTAGGAGGGAAATGGGGAAAAGCCAGGAAAGGGGACACAGAAAATTTTAGGGAAGAAGGGTCAGGAAAAAGCCGGGAAAAGCCAGGAATAGGAGACAGGGGAAGCTGGGAAAGGGGGACAGGGAAAAACCGGGAAAAGCTGGGAAAAGCTGGAAGGAGGGACAGGGAAAATTTTAGGGAAGGAGGAACCAGGGAGAGCTGGGAAAGGAGGACAGGGAAAATGTTTGGGAAGAAGGGACAGGGAAAAACCAGGAGAAACCAGAAAAAGCCGGGAAAATCCATGAAAAACCGGGGAAAGCCAGGAAGGAAGGGGAGAAAGGGGGGGAAAGCCAGGAAAGGAGAGATCGGGAAAAACCGGGAAAAGCTGGGAAAAGCTGGGAGGGAGGGACAGGGAAAATTTTAGGGAAGGAGGGACAGGGAACAATCAGGAGAAACCGGGCAAAACCGGGAAGGAAGAACGGGGAGAATTTTAGTGGAGGAATGGGGAAAAACCGGAAAAGCTGGGAAAGGGGGATAGGGAAAATTTTAGGGAAGAAGGGACCGGGGAAAGCCAGGATAGGGGGACAGGGAAAATCCGGGAAAAGCTGGGAAAAGCCTGGAAAGGAAAAAGCCGGGAAAGGGGGACAGGGAAAATTTTAGGGAAGGGTCAGGAAAAAGCCGGGAAAAGCCTGGAATAGGAGACAGGGAAAAACTGGGAAAGGGGGACAGGGAAAATTTTAAGCAAGAGGGGACAGGGAAAGTCGGGAAGGAGGGATTGGGAAAAACCGGGAAAGGGGGACAGGGAAAAGCCAGGAAAAGGGGACAGGGAAAAGCCGGGAAAACTTGGGAAAAGCTGGGAAGGAGGGACAGGGAAAATTTTAGGGAAGAAGGGACCAGGAAAAGCCAGGAAAGGGGGACAGGGAGAATTTAAGGGAAGATGGGACGCGGAACAACCAGGAGAAACCGGGGAAAACGGGGAAAAACTGGAAGGAAGGACAGGGAGAATTTTAGGGAAGAAGGGACAGGGAAAAGCCGGGAAAGAGGGAACAGGGGAAAACTGGGAAAGGGGACACAGAAAATTTTAGGAAGGAAGGGTCAGGGGAAAGCCGGGAAAAGGTGACGCGGAAAAGGCGGGAAGGAGCGCAGGGACAGGCCAGTGTCGCCCGTGTCCCCCCGGGGTGTCCCCGCACAGCCGGGATCTCTCCAGACCCCGGGATTTGGGATTTGGGGTTCGGGATGGGCTCACCTGGATCGTGTCCCGCGCCAGCTGCAGCGCCTGCTCGCGCTCCGCCAGCTGCTGTCGCATGTCCCCAGCGCTGGCCCCTGGCGGCGCGGGCACCGCCACTGTCACCGCCCTGGCGCGGGGACACGGCGTGGGGACAGCGCTGAGCCCTCCCCGCGGAGGGGAGTCCCCAAATCCTGTCCCCCGATCCCATGGGAATGTCCTGATCTCCCGTGGGGACACGCAGGGGACACTCGGGGACACCCAGAGCCACCGCAGGGACCCCCAAATCCCACAGGGAACCCCAAACCCCACAGGGACTCCCTGACCCACAAAAGGACCCCAAGGGCCATATGGGGAAACCTCAAACCCCACAGGGACACTCCAAACCCTCACAGCGACCCCAAACCCGAACAGAGACCCCCCAAACCTTCACAGTGACCCCAAACCCCTGTGGGGAACCCCCTAAACACCACAGTGAACCCCTGACCCACTAAAGGACCCCAAGAGCCATATGGGGACTCCCAGACCCTCATGGGGACACCCCAAACCCCACAAAGATCCCCTGACCCCCGTCAGTGATCCCCAAACCCCACAGTGACCCCTCCAAACACTCACAGTGACCTAAGCCTCACAGGAACACCATGACCCTCATGGGGACACCCCAAACCCCACAAAGATCCCCTGACCACCCTCAGTGACCCCCAAACCACCACAGTGACCCCAGACACGTACAGGGACGCCCCAACCCCACAGTGACCCTCCCAAACCCTCCCAGTGACCCCTTGACCCCGCAGGGGACACCCCAAACCCCACAAAGACCCCCTGACCACCCTCAGTGACCCCCAACCCCACAGTGACCCCCAACCCCACAGTGACCTCCAAAACCCTCACAGTGATCCCAAACCCTACAGGGACCCCAGATCATCAAAGGGACCCCCCCCCCCCCAACTCCGCAGTGACCCTCTCAAACACTCAGAGTGATCCCAAACCCCACAGGGACCCCCAGACCCTCATGGGGACACCCCAAACCCCACAAAGATCCCCTGACCTCCCTCAATGATCCCCAAATCCCACAGTGACATGAAACACGTACAGAGACACCCCCCCCCCAAGCCCCACAGTGACCCCCCCCAAACCCGCAGTGACCCCAAACCCCACAGGGACCTCCCAAATCCTCACAGTGACCCCAAACCCTGGCAGGGACCGCCTCCCAACCCCACATTGACCCTCCCAACCCTCACAGTGATCCCAAACCCCACAGTGACCCCCTGACCCCCATAGTGACCCCAAACCTTAGCAGGGACCCCCCCGTCCCCCAACCCCACAGTGACCCCCCCAACCCTCACAGTGATCCCAAACCCCACAGTGACCCCCTGACCCCCATAGTGACCCCAAACCTTAGCAGGGACCCCCCCGTCCCCCAACCCCACAGTGACCCCCCCAACCCTCACAGTGATCCCAAACCCCACAGTGACCCCCAAACCCCACAGTGACCCCCTGACCCCCATAGTGACCTCAAAGCTTAGCAGGGACGCCCCTGTCCCCCAACATCAAAGTGACCCCCCAAACCCTCACAGGGACCCCAAACCCTCACAGGGACCCCAAACTCCACAGTGACCCCCCAAACCTTCACAATGACTCCAAAGCCCACAGGGACCCCGTGACTCTCATGGGGACACCCTAAATCCCACAGGGACATCCCAAACCCTCGCAGTGACCCCTCAAACCCCTATGGGGACACCCCAAACCCTCACAGAGACCCAAAACCCTCACAGTGACCCCGAACCCCACAGGGGACACTCAAACCCCACAGCGACCCCCAAACCCTCACAAGGATCCCAAAACCCTCACAATGACTCCAAACCCTCACAGAGACCCCAAACCACCACAGGGACCCCCCGAGTCCCCTCAGTGACTCCCGGAACCCCACAAGGACCCCACAGAGACCCCACAAAGAACCCCTGACCCCAAAAGTGCCCCGCCCCCTGCCCAGCCCTCACCTGGGAGCGCTGTCCTGGCTGCAGCCCCTTCCCAAACTGCTCTGGAACCTGGGCTGGCCTGGAAAACCCACAGGGATGGATGGATGGATGGATGGATGGATGGATGATGGATGGATGGATGGATGGATGATGGATGGATGGATGGATGGATGGATGGATGGATGGATGGATGGATGATGGATGGATGGATGGATGGATGGATGGATGGATGGATGATGGATGGATGGATGGATGGATGGATGGATGGATGGATGATGGATGGATGGATGGATGGATGGATGGATGGATGATGGATGGATGGATGGATGGATGGATGGATGGAGGATGGATGGATGGATGGATGGATGGATGGATGGATGATGGATGGATGGATGGATGGATGGATGGGTGGATGGATGGATGGATGATGGACGGATGGATGATGGACGGATGGATGGATTGATGGATGGATGGATGGATGATGGATGGATGGATGGATGGATGGATGGATGGATGGATGATCAATGGATGGATGGACGGATGATGGATGGATGATGGATGGATGATGGACGGACGGATGGATGGATGATGGATGGATGGATGATGGATGGATGGAGCCGCCTGCCCCGACACCGCTGTCCCCTCCCAGGGACCCCAAAAAGTCCCAGAGGGGAATTTTTGGATCCTTTATCGCCCATCCTTTACCTGTTTCCAGGTACCTGCCCTCGTCCAGCGCTGCCGACTCCGCTGGGGGCTGAGGAGAGGCAGGAAAACCCCTGGGACACCTGGGACACACCTGGGACACCCCTGCCACCAGCCCAGGTGACCCCAACGTGGCCTGGGACACTGCCAGGAGCAGCCACAGCAAATCTGGGAATTCCAGCCCAGCCAGGAATTCCTTGCCAAGATCCCAGCCCAATCTCCCCTTTCCCAGTGGGAGCCATTCCCTGGCTCCTGTCCCTGCAGGCCTTGTCCCCAGTCCCTCTCCAGCTCTCCTGGAGCCCCTTCAGGGACTCTGAGGATTCCCTGGAATTTTCCCTTCTCCAGGTGAACATTCCCAGCTCTCCCAGCCTGGCTCCAGAGCAGAATTCAGAAAGGATTTCTGTTGGGAATGACCTTAAATCCCACTCAGAGATCATTCCCTTATGCCAGCTTTCCCCAAACCCCAATATCCAACCTTCCTCAGCATTCCCATTTCTGGGAATTCCCCATTTTTTGGATTTCCTCCCCATTTTTGAGATTTCCTCCCCATTTCTGGGATTTCCTCCCCATTTTTGGTATTTTCTCCCCAGACGTGGGATTTCCTCACCCTTTTTGGGATTTCCTCCCCATTTTTGGAATTTCCTCACAATTTTGGGGATTTCCTCCGCATTTTTTTGGATTTCCCTCCCCATTTTTGGGATTTCCTCCCCATTTTTGGAATTTCCTCTCAATTTCTGGGATTTCCTCCCCAATTTTGGGATTTGCCTCCCCATTTTTGGAATTTCCTCACAATTTTTGGGATTTCCTCCCCATTTTTGGGATTTCCTCCCCATTTCTGGAATTTCCTCCCCATTTTTTGGATTTCCTCCTCAGATTTGGGATTTCCTCACCCTTTTTGGGATTTCCTCCCCATTTTTGGAATTTCCTCACATGTTTTGGAATTTCCTCCCCATTTTTGAGATTTCCCTTCCCATTTTTGGGATTTCCCTCCCCATTTTTGGGATTTCCTCCCCATTTTTGGGATTTCCTCCCCATTTTTCAGGGTTCCCTCACCTTCCCAGCCCCTCCCTTGCCTTTCGTCTGCCTCTGGAGGATTTTGTCCCTCAGGAGCTGCAGGAGCTGCTCGGCCGTTCCCGGCTGGCTCCGCACCAGGGCCTGGATCATCTCCTCAGGGAGCCGCAGGTTCAGCTTGCTCAGCACCTTCCTGGAATTTGGGATCCATGGAATGTCCAGGGAGGTGACAGAGGGACACAGGAGACACAGGGGGACAGAGGGACACGTGGGGATCCAGTGCCTGGATCATCTCCTCAGGGAGCCGCAGGTTCAGCTTACTCAGCACCTTCCTGGAATTCGGGATCCATGGAATGTCCAGGGGAGGTGACAGAGGGACACAGAGGGACAGAGAGGGACACAGGGGGACTTAGGGGGACATGGGACACAGGGGACACAGAGACATAGGGGGACATGAGGGGAATCCAATGCCTGGATCACATCCTTGGAAGCCACAGGTTCAGCACTTTCCTGGAATTTGGAATCCATGGAACAGCCAGAGAGGTGACAGAGGGACACAGAGGAACACAGAGGGACATGGAACACAGGGGGACAGAGAGTGACAGAGGGACATAGGGGGACACGGGGGGACCTAGACAGACAGAGAGGGATAGAGATGAACACAGAGGGACACAGGCGGACATGGGATGCAGGGGGACACTGAGGGACAGAGAGGGACAGAGAGGGACAAAAGGGGACACTGAGGGACAGAAGGATAGTGAGGAACACAGGGGGACACAGAGGGACATGGGACACAGGAGGACAGAGGGGGACAGAGGGACATGGAGGGACACAGGGGGACAGAGAGTGACACAGGCGGACACAAGGGGACACGGGCTGCAGGGGGACAGAGAGGGACACAGGGTGACATGGGCGGACACAGAGGAACACAGAGGACAGAGACGGACATAGAGGGACCCAGAGGGACATGGAGGGACACAGAGGGGGGAGACAGAGGGACACGGAGGGACACAAGGGGTCACCAATCCCCACCCGCAGCGCACCACGGTGGCTCTGTGGCCACACGGAGCTGTCGGAATGTGGCCAACAGGGCGAGACCACCCGCAGGACAGGTGGGGACAATCTGGGGACACCCCGGACGGGGGGTGGGGGGGTCACACGGAGCTGGTGGCGCCTGTCCCTACCTGTTGAGGTGTCCCCAGTTGGCGACTTTCTGCGCCGTGGAGCTGGTGGGGACAAAGCTGTGCAGCTCCACCAGGGAGGGGAAGAAGAACTTCACCACCTCGGCCGCCAGCACTGCGGGGACAGCGGGGACACGCTGCGGGTGGCACCACAGGGACAGAGGGACAGCCCGCCCCGGCCACCCCGCCGTGTCCCCGCAAGGCCAACCGCCGTCGCTGAAGTCGCGGGCGATGTTCCTGCGCGGCCGCGACAGTGGCACCGTGTCCAGCCAGCGGTACAGAGACACGAGCGACGCCTCCGGGCCCGGCTCCGGCCCCTCGGCCGCCATCAGGGCCCGGCCTCAGCGTCCCCGCTGCCATGGCAACGGGGGCGGGGCCTGCGCAGAGCGTTGCGCTGCCATGGCAACGGGGGCGGGGGCCTGCACGGAGCGTCTCATGGTGCCATGGCAACAGAGGGCGGGGCCTGCGCGGAGCTTCTAATTGCCATGGAAACGGGGGCGTGGCTTTAATGAAGAGGTTCTGCTGCCCTGGCAACCAGGACGGGGCTCAATGAAAGCGTCGTGGTTGCCACGGCAACAGGGGCGGGGTTTAATGGGAGCGTTTCTGCTGTTATGGAAACGAGGGCGGAGCTTGAAGGAAGCGTCGTGGTGTCATGGCAACGAGGCGGGGATTAATGGGAGCATCCCATTGCCATGGAAAGTGAGTGGGGCTTATTGGCAGCGTCGCTGCTGCTATGACAACGGGGGCCGGACTGCGTGGGGGAGCAATGTTGCCATGGCAACAGGGGGTGGGAATTCAAGGGAGTATTTCTGCTGGCATGACAACGGGGGCGGGGCTTCAGGGGGCGTCGGTGCCATGGCAACAGGAGCAGGACTTGCAGGGTGCACCCTATTGCCATGGAAATGGGGGTGGGATATGAACATTGCCATGGGATATGGACATCGGGGTGGGATATAGACATTGGGATGGGATATGGACACTGGGAATGGGATATGGACATCATGGATGGGATATGGACATCATGGATGGGATATGAACGTCATGGATGGGATATGGACATTGGGGTGGAATATGGATTTTGAGATGGGATATGGACACTGGGATGGGATATAGATATTGGGGTGGGATATGGACACTATGGATAGGATATAGACATTGGGGTGGGATATAGATTTTGGGATGGGATATGGACACTGGGATGGGATATGGACACTGGGATGGGATATGGATATTGGGGTGGGATATGGACACCATGGAGGGGATATGGACACTGGAGGTGGGATATGAACACAGGGGTGGGATATGGACACTGGGAATGGGATACGGACATTGAGATTGGACATAGACGCCACGGATGGGGTATAGGCACAGCCACAACCTCAGGAGGTGACAGTGACACCCCCAGACCGGGGGCAGGTGGTGAACGAGACCCCCCCAGCAGGGAGAACCGCCCCTCACCTGCACCTGGGGGGTTCTCAACTCCCACCCCCTCCTTGTCCCTTCCCCCAGCCATGTCCCCTCCTCTGGCCGGGCCGTGTCCCCAAATTCCCCCTCAAATGTCCCCCGAAACACTCCCCGCGCCTTAAGCCCCGCCTCTCCTCTGACCCCGCCTCCCCACCCAATTCCCGCATCCAATTGGCTGCACTTCCCGTCAATCATCCGGCTCCGCCTCACTCCCGATGTGCCACGCACTGAGCACTTCCGCATTATCTCCGGCTCCACCCTCTCTGCCTGTCTATTCGCTATGAATCCCGCCAATCATATTTTTAACCAATCATTTTCTTGTCCCCGCCTGCCACGCGCTTCCATTGGCTGTCGCCGCCTTGATGTTTTCATATAAACAGCGCCGCGGCGCTTGGCGCCTCCTTGTGGACGCGGCGCGGGACCGGCGACAGCGGGACCGGGGACCGCACGCGACATATCGCGACATAGCGGCCACTCCGCGGCTCCTCCGGCACGCCGAAGGGCGACCGCGGGCTGGTGGCGTGTCCCCCGTCGTGTCGCTGGGCACGGCGGGTGGCACCTGGGGACATCCCCGCTGGTTTTGTCGCCTGTGTCCCGTGTGATGTCAGAGTCCCCCCCATGGGATTTCCTTTGGGATTTCCCCCGGAATTCCCTCAGTTTTTTTAAATTTCCCTCTCCCTTTTTTTAAAAATTTTTCCCCTTTCCCCCGCTTTTTTTTCTCCTTTTTCTTCCCCTCCCCTCTTTTTTATTATCTTCCCCCTCCCTCTTTTCCGTCTTTTAATTAATTTTTTTCCTTTTTTCCCACCCTATTCCCCCCCTTTTAATTTCATTTTCCACCTTTTTTACCCCTCTCTTCCTCCTCTTTTAGTTTCCATCTTTTATCACGTATTTTTCCACTTTTTCTTCCCTTCCTCCCCCTCCTTTCCCCCTTTTTATTCCCTTCCCCCTCATTTCCCCCTTTTTATTCCCTTCCCCCTCTTTTTTCCCCTTTTTTATTCCCTTCCCCCACTTTTCCCCCCCTTTTTATTCCCTTTCCCCCCTTTTTTTCCTCATTTTTATTCCCTTTTCCTCACATTTCCCCATTTTTAATTCCCATTTTCCTCCCCTTTTCCCCCCGGACCTTTTTGTTTATTTTCTTTTTTTTTCCTGTTTTGTTTGTTTGGGAATTTTTGTTTCGTTTTGCTTAATTTTTTTGTGGGATTGATATTTTTGAGGGGGTTATTTGGGTGTGTTCTAGGAATCTTGGGGATTTGTTTGGGAAATTTTAGGTTATTTTTGTTCTTTGGAGCTATTTTGGGGTTATTTGGGATTGTTTTGGATTTTTGAGTTTGTTTTGGGTTTTTGGGTTGTTTTTGGTGGGTTTTTTTATATTTTGGGGGTGTTGGGGTATTTGGGTTTGGTTTTGGTATTTTTTTTGAGTTTTAAAATTTTTTTGGTTTTTGTTTTTTTTTGGGGGAGTGGGGTATTTTGGGGGTTATTTTGGGCCTGTTTGGGGTTTTTGGTGGTATTTTATGTTTTTTGTGGGTTTTTTTGTATTTTTGGGGCTTATTTGAGGGTGATTTTGGGCTTGTTTGGGCTTGTTTTGGGGTTTTTGGGGGGGTTATTTGAGGAAGATTTTGGGATTATTTTGGGTATAATCTGGGTCGATTCAGGGATTATTTTTGGGGTTTTTTTTTGCCTTCTTTTGTATTATTTAAAACAATTTATTCTCTGCTCAGCTGTGATTAATTTGAGGTGCATGTCCCCAAATGAGGGAGAGGGGTTGGAGACCCCAAAATGTCACAGGGGGTGGGGGTGGGGCACTTCAATCGGGGACAGATTTGGGGTCATGAGAGGGTGGGGGGGTGACACCAGGATTTGGGACACTGGGGACAGGGGTGGGGGACCTGGATTGGGGTTGGGGACTCCTGGGATTGGGGGATCCCTGGATAAAGGGAGGTGATCCCGCTGGATTGGGGGCTGAGATCCCAATGGATTGGGGGATAATCTCATAGGTTTAGGGAGATGAGACCCCTGGATATGGGGGATTGATCCCACTGGTTTTTGGGGATGATCCTCTTGGATAAGGGGGAGGATTCCCACCGCTTTTGGGGGATGAGATCCCTAAATTAGGGGGATGATCCCACTGGTTTTGGGGGATTGATCCTACTGGTTTTGGGGGATGAATTCCCTAAATAGGGGAAAGGATCTCTCTGGATTGTGGAGTGAGATCCCTAAATAGGGGGGATGATCCCACTGGATAAAGGGACTGAGATCCCTGGATAAGGGAGATCGATCCCACTGGTTCTTAGGGATGATTCCACTGGATGTGGGGGATGACATCCCTAAACAGGGGGGATTGATCCCTCTGGTTTTGAGGGATGATCCTCTTGGATAGGGGGGATGAGATCCCTAAATAAGGGGGTTGATCCCACTGGATTGGGGGATTGATCCCACTGGATATGGGGGATGAACCCACTGGTTTTGGGGGATGATCCTCTTGGATAATGAGGGAGGATCCCACTCTTTTTGGGGGATGAGATCCCACTGGTTTTGGGGGAGGATCCTCCTGGAGAGAGGGGATGAGAACCCTGGATATGGGAGATGAATTCCCCAAATGGGGGAATGATCCCTTGAGTCTGGGGGGGGGGGGGGGGTGAGATCCCAAATAGGGGGGATGATCCCACTGGTTTTAGGGGATGATTCCATTGGATATGGGGGATGACATCCCACTGGTTTTGGGGGATGATCCTCTTGGATAAGGGGCATGATCCCACTGGTTTTAGGGGATGAGATCCCTAAACAGGGGAGATGATCCCACTGGATAAGGGTGGATTGATCCCACTGGATATGGGGGATGTTCCCACTGGTTTTGGGAGATCCCTAAACAGGGGATATGACCCCACTGGATAAGGAGGATTGATCCCACTGGATATGGGGGATTATCCCTCTGGAGAGAGGCAATGACACCACTGGATATGGGGAATGATCCTGTGGGATTTGGGGGATGAGATCCCTGCATGGGGGGGATGATCCCACTGGTTTTGGGGGAGGATCCTACTGGAGAGAGAGGATGAGAACTCTGGATATGGAGGATAAATTCCCAAATGGGGGAATGATCCCTTGGGATTGGGGAGGTGAGATCCCTAAATAAGGGGGATGATCCCTGGATAAGGGGGGATGGTCCCACTGCTTTTAGGGGACAATTCCAATGGATATGGGGGATGAATTCCCTAAATAGGGGGGATTGATCCCTCTGGTTTTGAGGGATGATCCTCTTGGGTGGGGGGGAATGAGATCCCTAAATAAGGGGGATGATCCCACTGGATATGAGGGATGAACCCACTGGTTTTGGGGGATGAGATCCCTGGATAGCGGAGATGATCCCACTGGATAAGGGAGATGAATTCCCTAATTAGGGGGAATGAACCCACTGAATAATGGGGGGGGTGATCCCACTATTTTTTGGGGATGAGATCCTGCTGGAGAGGGGATGAGAACCCTGGATGTGGGGGATGAATTCCCTAATTGGGGGACTGATCCCTCTGGATATGGGGGAGTGAGATCCCTAAATAGGGGGGATGATCCCACTGGCTAAGGGGAGTGAAATCCCTGCATAAGGGGGGATGATCCCACTGGTTTTAGGGGACAATTCCAATGGATATGGGGGATGACATCCCTAAATAGGGGAGATTGATCCCTCTGGTTTTGAGGGATGATCCTCTTAGAGGGGGGGGGATGGGGGATGAGATCCCTGGATAAGGGAGATGATCCCACTGGATAAGGGTGGATTGATCCCACTGGCTTTGGGGGATGATCCCACTGGTTTTTGGGGATGAGATCCCTGGATATGGGGAGATGATCCCACTGGATAAGGGGAATTGATCCCACTGGTT